CATAACTTGAACACTAATGGTTGGAATTCAATATTACTTCATACAATGGTCAAGCACATTGAGAGAAAGTGCAGTGCACAAGAACCATAACTCCATCTTGACTAATTACAGAGTTATTGCCCTTTGTTACTTTTCCTTGTCCAGAGCATAACTTGAAAACTACTGTTTGGAATTCAATACAACTTCATACAGTTGTCAAGAACATTAAAAGGAAGTGCAGTGCACAAGAGCCATTAGTCCATTTTGACAAAATACAGAGTTACTGCCCTTTGATACTTTTCCTTGTCAGGAGCATAACTTAAAACATACTGGTTGGAATTCAAAACAACTTCATACAATGGTGAAGCACAATAAGAGGAAGTGTAGTGCACAAGAACTATAACTCTATCTTCAGTATTTATAGAGTTATTGTCCTTTGTTCCTTTTCTTTGTCTTTCTGGTCTTTTTTTTAGAAAAGACGTCATGTTTAATCAATTTCATTGATTCCTTTTTGTTATGTTTAACCTTATATTAATTTGGAAATAAAATACTATTATTTTGGTTATTCGTAATTTGTAACATTTTTACTGAATACATAATTTATAATAATAATAAAGCTAGTTTTAAATATTCAAATCAAGCTTTTTTCCATCGTCCTTAATTTAAAGCCATGTTAAAGTTTATTTTATAAGTATCCGTTGATCAAGATTTTAAACGCATGCAAAGCGAGTTATTGTTAAAATTTCCCATATTGTGTATTTGTTATGCATTGCCCCCAAGTTGCCGCAAAATTCATCAGCTGACTTTCATCAGTAAAAGTATTAATCAAAGTCTCAAATACTGCGGCAAAGGTGTTTTCCATGTTTCAAAATAAAAATGACCTAAGTAACTCGTTCGCTTTTATTTTTATTTCTATGTCATTAATGGCCTTCCATACCCTGCGAAAATATAATTACAAAATAGCGCAAAGGATCTTAATATAATTATATTATACAAAGGAACCCTTATACGAATTAAAATATTTGCTTTTAAGTTAGTATAAAAAAAAATATTAGCGCGAGAAATCTTACCGCTACATTATTTATGCGACACTATTCTTTTATAAACTAGTGGTCTTTTGTTACGATACTGTCACCGTAAGTTGTGCTACGTGGTCTTTATAAACGTAAGACAAGGGAAACAAATCAAATGATGACATAGTCTAAAAATAGCGCTTACTAATAAGAGGGGTAATATATCGATTACTGTCTTTGTAAAATGACATTTAGTATCGTTTTGAAATATGTCGTACTACATTGAGACAAGTTTAATATAATTTACGATGGCATTTATATAAAATAAAAATAGCGGGGTTTAATGTCGATTACTGTCTTTGTATAATGTTTAGAAATAGGTCGCACTACATTGGGCCAAGTTTAATATCATTTACGATGACATTTAATGGCGGGTTTAATATGGCGAATTGAATTTTTATAACAGTAGCGGTACTAGGTTCAGTGTCCCTTTGAGGATTTTCGAAAAATAGACGCAAAAAGTATTTTTTATAAACAAAATAATCGATATTTGTTTTCTTTACAAACAAGCAGTTCGTTTACACAATGTTTATTTATTATACATTAAGTTTAAACATATTTATTTCCCGAATATTTACATAATATACATAATACAATACAATAAAATTAAAAAATATATAATATATTCAAAGAAAAGGATAAAAACAAGAAAAATTAAGTCTTATAAAATTCTTCTCCTTTTAGTGTAACTTTATAATGAGTAAATTTTATAATATTTTGTACAATTATCAAAAAAGTGGAATGTAAATATTTGTGACGAAGTCAACGTTATATTTATAAGTAATCATCGGAATAAGAATTCGAAATTATAATAACGAAAAAAATAGAAAGGTAAACAAATAATACAATAGGAAGAAAAAAGAAAGAAAGAGAAAAGAAAGATTGCTTCACTGTTTCACTTTAAGTTCAGAGAAACGGCTTTGATTCTGAGATAAAAGTATTATACATTTACTTTTATCATAAAGTTAAATTCTGTAAATAAATTCTCTGTAAAACAAGTAGCACTGCCATTTCATTTTGTTTTATTTTACATATAACTATTGTTCTTATTCAGCACTTTTATCATAAAAAATTTGTATGTAAAATTGATAGGACCGCACTAAAAAAAAAGAAATTGGTACGGCCTAATACCAGGGATATTCAAAAATTTAACCGGACTGTCAATTAAATAATTTTCAATCAAAAATCAATACCTGTAAACTAATGCTATACGTAATAACACGAATAGTTTTGTCCGAATTTAAAAACATGGTAACGCACACCCGGCGCAGTGTAAGTTTAATTTTATATGTAATTATTCTTTTTTTTTATATATTCCGTAATGCAGGTAGAAAATCATATACAAAGTCCGGTTAATTTTTGATCATCCCTCGTCCACTAAAATAACGTAATTTTAAAACATATTTCCTGGTGTAAATTTGACAGGCGACAGTCTGGAGTAACACATTGAAAAGTTAACTGTGCAAAAAGTGTTTTTATAGAAAAATCATCACAAAGTCATTTTGTCACGGCTGCTATTTGTAAAGAATTTAAATTGTTTTTGTTCAAAAAATGTATGTCTTGTTGGTGTAAAAAAATAGTCAAAAGAGCAGCAAAAGTTGAATAAAAGGTCAAATCATGATCCCTTTCTGAGGGGCCTAATAACATATGCGTACATTCGTGTAAAAGAACTAAAATAAATTGTTCTATACATACACATTTTTTATAGTTTATGTTAATTTGTACAGTTTTGGTGTTACGGTTAAACTGTGTGAGACCGATCCAGCTTGAATCCACATCAACTAAAGCTATAAACAGAGTTTTAAATTCTGTGGATCTTTGATCAAAAATTACGTTTATTATATGCCAGACCTTTAACAAACATAAAAGAGCACAATTATCAGTATATGATTTTGGTTCGAAGTTCGTTTCATCGACATATGCGTAATTTATTTTGTATCGTATTGAAGGTATTTTTAATTGCATTTTTTAAAATCTTTTTGCTACAAAGAAAAGTCTGTTATTTGAAAGTTTCACGATTATTTTAATATTTTCAATGATAAATTATCCTTGCCCAGTAGATATAGGAAAATGAAACATTAAAAAGGAATCTAAAAAACACGATCATTTTGTTAAATGCAAAATATACGGTATCTCGTACATGGTCACCAAATGTAAAAATAAAAATTAAAACCTATATCAAAACGTATCCACATGGTTAAATATGCATGCAATAATTTAGAAGATTTTTAAAAAAAAAATTATGAAATTAATACATCAATATCTAAAAATATAATTTGAATATATCAAACGAATGCCCTTTAAAATATTACCTGTTTTGTAATTGGTGCATTTATTTCTAAATAGCCGCTTCTGTTATTATAATCATGACTCGTATCAACAGTTTCGTCATTCGTTAGATCAATTACCTAAAAAAAAGACGTTAAACATAATCAGTAAATATCAGTTATTCGTGTTTTGCATTAATGTAGTGAAAACGGGATCAAATAAATCGTTAGGCTTACCTCGTTAAGACCCTCATTTTTTCTTCTCTCTTTTCCCGCTTTTCTGGTACAGTTAAGCCATTTTCCTGAAATATTGATATAAATAATAATAATAAAATACAGGGCACTGTTTATTTTCTCAATTCACACTTTTAAAATTAACATGATTAAAATAATAAAGTAACTTACCTGGGTAAGACATTTTTAACAGATTTCTATGTTCCTTTTATTTATGTAGTTTGTGTGCTTTTCTTTCGGATCTTTTATATAGTATGATTAAGAAAGGCTTACATCATGTAAACATCATTTAAATTTTTAGTTATAGATATAAAATATTCATATTTGATTTTAATGTACTTTTAAAAAAAGGCTTACTACAGCACGCTTGTCAGAGGATAGTTGTACAGCCTACGGGTATATAAAATGTGTCATTTATTAAGGATTTATTAATGTTTAAAATTAAAGCTGATTTTAGCTGCGTTGTTTATGAATTAGCTCCGATACATATTTTTGAATTCAATATTACTTAGAATATATATATAGCGATTGGCCAAATACGGACTATGTTAAAAGACTAAATTTGTGTATTAAAACTAGAACCTCAAAATGACTGTTGCGTTTGTGCGCTTATTCCGTTATATGTAAATGGTGGTCATTTGTGTGAAACCGGGTAAAAGTATATTTCATGTCACATATACCATATAAATAATTTATCTAGGATGGAAGATTGTAAAATAAGTCAATAAAATAACCTCCGTACATGTACCGATATTCACATCGCTTATATGCAAATATATTACTATATATATATGGAAACAAGATGGCCGCCGCACGTGTGCAGTCGTGGCGTTAAAGAGGCGCTTATACTACTATAATATAAAATTAATACTAAGAACACCAACAGTAAATCAGGCATATAGAATACTAGTATAGTTATGTTGACTTTTGTTCTACAGATTACAACTTTGTCTTAAACTATATTTTATTTAATGCATGCGCACTGCTTTTAAACTGATGCGAAAAAAGTACAGTCAAACCTGTGAACAAAGTCCAGCAAAGGAAGAGACGAAAATATGGCATTTATAGACAAGTGATCTTATTTTTATTATTATTATCATTGTTTATTTTTTATTTATTTTTTTTTGGGGGGAGGGAGGGGGTACCTTGTTCTTTTTAATCAATTAACGCTGGTCAAACAGTGGTCTTTATTTACAGGGTGATCTTTATTTAGAGGTGGTCTTTAACACAGGTTTTTTTGTAGTTCTATTATTTTGTGCTTAAATGATTTAGTTTAAAGTTTATACATATATTATAGTTCCATTGTGTAGTGGGTGTGGAGGGGACAGATCAGCCTAAAGAGAAACTTTCAAAAATGGTTTACTCAGTCATAATTGCGTTTTGTTGTGTGTGTTTTTTTTAATAATACATAAATAAATAATAAATAATCACAATTGTATCTCAACAGAACATCATATCAAACAACTGGGAATCATCGGTACCTGGTCTTTCACACAAGACGCCAACTTGTATTCTGTTTGATAAACATCAACAGTTCCATTCTTTTGGTAATGACGCTGAACAAAAATACAACGCACTTGCAGCTGATGGTGAAACGTGGAACTGGTACTTCTTTAAACGATTTAAGATGACTTTGTATAAGGAAGAGGTAAACTGAAAAAAATGGTCTTGCCTTTCAATTGATTAATCAATATGTATGTCAAACACTATGTTAGACAAATAGCTTTAAAAATATTTAAGTATGTGTCTATAAAAAGGTAATGTTATGAAACATTCAATAATGCATTTGCAACAATGCATTATGACCAATATGAGTTAAAATAAGTTCATAGAATTATGTAACGTGTATATAAAAATGAATTGTATTTGTTTTGTTTTAAGGCTTTGTCGCGTGGCACAGTTATTAGAGATGACAAGGGTATGGACATGCCAGCTATGATTGTGTTTACAGAAAGTCTCAAATATCTCAAAGACCACTTGCTAAAGACGCTTGAAAGAACCTCTGTCGATATAAAACCTCAAGATATACACTGGGTAATCACAGTGCCAGCAATATGGACAGATTCAGCAAAACAGTTTATGAGAGAGGCTGCAATTAATGTAAGAAGCAAAACATTAATCATTAATTTATGTCCTAGATTACTCTTTTACAACTTTGATAAAAAGATGCTTCACACGCACGCAGACACACACACGCATGCCCACACATGCGCATGTACATGTATACACGCACACTTAGTTTTATTTGAGCTCACAGTTTTACTGAAACATAATAAATTTCATAGTGTAAAGCAAATTAGATCAATGATTTACATGCAACCATATAAAATATTTAAATAGAAAGCGTCATTATATTTTCACAAATATGTATGATAACAAACTACATTGTTTCTTACAGGCCGAAATACACACAGACATGATTTCACTGAGTCTAGAACCCGAGGCAGCTAGTCTGTTTTGCAGATATCTACCCGTGCAAAGAGTGACTGGGGTCAGTCAAGCCGAAATTCGAAGTTTCAGCATTGGAGACAAATACATGATTCTTGACTGTGGTGGTAAGCATCTAAGTCACAATAATTGATGGTTTGATTGTAAGAAAATGTTAAATAAATAAAAAATAAATAAATATTCTATATCCTTTTGTCTATCTTATATTTTATATCCTTTTGTCTATCTTATATTCTATATCCGTTTGTCTATCTTATTATTCTATATCTTTTGTCTATCTTATATTCTATATCCTTTTGTCTATCTTATATTTTATATCCGTTTACCTATCTTATATTTTATATCCTTTTGTCTATCTTATATTCTATATCCTTTTGTCTATCTTATATTCTATATCCTTTTGTCTATCTTATATTCTATATCCTTTTGTCTATCTTATATTCTATATCCTTTTGTCTATCTTATTATTCTATATCCTTTTGTCTATCTTATATTCTATATCCTTTTGTCTATCTTATATTCTATAACCTTTTGTCTATCCTATTATCCTATATCCGTTAATCTTCAGGTGGAACTGTCGATATTACTGTACATGAAATACAGGAAGACAGTACCTTAAGGGAGCTTGCAAAAGCCAATGGGGGAGAATGCGGTGGTACGCAAGTGGATGAAAAGTTTATTTCGTTGCTGAATGATTTATTTGGACCGGATGTCATGGAAGTAATTTGTCAACGCTACAGGGATGATTACCTTCAATTGATGCAAAGCTTTGAAATAAAGAAGAGAAGAATTTCTCCTGGCTTATCTGCAACAGAAACTATACAGATATCTGCTTCATTTACAGATACATACAAGGAACTTAACAATATAGATATTGCTAACAATCCTAGTATTCCTCAACGTCTGAAGGGTAAAGTGACATTCACAAAGGATAAGGTACGAGTAGATGCAGATGTTATGAAGGATCTTTTTACTGATGTTTGTGGGGAAATTTGTAAACAGGCGAGAGAGTTTTTCAGCTCTATAAGGGAGCATAACATCGACAAAATTCTGATGGTGGGCGGTTTCAGTGAATCTGAGATGCTTCAAGTTAAGGTAAGAGAGACTTTCCCAAGAGTAAGTTTGATAATACCGGAGGAAGCTGGTCTTGCTGTTCTGAAGGGGGCAGTTCTGTTTGGGCACAATCCAAAGATGATTACAGCACGTGTATGTAAATATTCATACGGGATACGCGCTTTCAAGCATTTCGAGCCCGGACTAGATCCACAAGAGAAGAGGGTTGTCCAAGGTGATTTAGTCCTTTGCAAGGATTACTTTAGTAAGCATGCAACCATTGGCCAGGAGTACAAGACCAAAGAAAAAGTTTACACACAAGAGTATGTCCCGTCTGATGCCAGTGGATCGAAGTTAGAGGTCTGGGTATACACATCACCTAGAAAACATCCATTATATATAGACGAAGAGGGAAGTAGGAAAATAGGCGAAATAAGCATTCCATTACAAAACACCAAAGGAAAAGATAATCCTGTAAAGGTTCAATTTGTATTTGGAGACACAGAACTAAAGGTTAAAGTCAAAGACACAGTGACGGGACAGAAGAAAGATGCAGACTTTGATCTATTAGGACTTTAAATTTGAAGTTCATGACATGTCTGCGAGTCAAACATTCCACACTTTATAATCTTTACTGAACAGTATGTTTAAAATATTTTGAAAATTATTTAAACATTACCAAATTCGTGTTTAATTTAACGTCCTTATCGGACAAATATTTATCTGATAGTCAACAGAAAACGTTCTTTTCAACATATTGTAGTAATTTACATGATCAAAACGACAATTTAAAATGACCCAGCGTTTAACAGACACAATGAGATGAACAATCTGACATTGAAACATGCGTGGCTCCTGATAAGCGTTTTTATTTTCTTTGTTTGATGTTATGTATTCAAATTTGTTCTTGTTTAAGTTACTCCCGATGATTTAATAACTAAGATTTATTTTGTAAATATGTCTATTTACATGACTGTGTGATATACTAACGATTTATATTTACTTTTTATATATTAACGATATCCATTTAAAGCGGCCGTTTAAATATGTTATTTTTAGGTAAGTCGTTTTGTATGATTGTCAAATCAGAAAAATTAAGGTAGAAAATGAAATCTGCCCACGATAAATTGCAAAAACATTAAGGGAAACCCTCGATACCTCTAATCTACCAATCCAACATCTATATTTAAATGAGTGAAGCGGACGTTTCCCGTCTTCTATTTATAGAAACAAACGTCACTGACACGTTAAAAAAAGCTCTCGGGACGTTGTCTTCACTTTTCAAAAATAAAATTACTGAAATACTTAGTTTCAAACGACACAGAACTGCTTTTGCAACAGAAAATAAAAACTGAAGGCCTCTTTACACATGTTAAATGTAGTATTCTTGATATCAATTTACATGACTTGTATATTACGGATATCTATTTATATGTGATATATATTACAGGTTGTTAAATGTTTATATGATTATTAAATGTCATGATTTGGCAATAGTTTTGCACACATTTAACACTTTTATCGGCGTTCTGTTTGGCTAGCTTATATTATGTAAATACGAATAACATTCTATGCCAGTATTTAGTTTGCAATTTATCAAATACATGTATCCTGGTTTCTTATAAGAAGGTTCTCGTAGCGTCATTGATTGAAAGTCGTAAGCTGCATGTTCATGTGTTCATATTCTTGAATAAACTGATATCCATACCTGTACATTATGGATGAATAAGTTTACTAGAACTCAAAAAAATATTCACGTGTATAACACGTGTATTGAATGTCATGTTTTATATCGAACAAATGTGATGAATTAATCTTTTCTTTACCTTTATTTTGAAGAGATTGAAATATTTTCATTTTTGCCTAAGTAAAACAGTACTTTAGAATTAATATAATTATAAAATTTCTAAACCACATTTCAAGTCGAATTAATGTTTTATAATTGATTAAAAAGCTAACAGGTGCACGAATACGACTAAAAGCAATAAATTCATATTTGACTTGCTGTAATTTTTTTTATCTCAGCTTTGTAAATTTATCATGGGTGTATGTCTATAAACTAATAGCAAAATAATTTCGATTTCATCTCTCTTTAAGTATATAAGATCTTCAATTTACTGGTGTAAGATATATATAGAATTATCAAGATATGCATATGTATATATTTTTTGTTGAACAATGCAATATATTAAGTTATTTTCATATTTTCTAACAAAAAATGCCTGCCTCAAAAGAAAGAATGTGTCACATCTATATTGATAACTTGTCAAACCTTTTGTGCTAGCATTTTTTGTTTGTTTTAAAGCATAGTCAAATACAAATAGAGGAATTCAGGATAACTAGATTATAAGCGCAAAACCTGGAAAATGAAATTGAAAGATTTGCTGGCATCATTTTGTTAATTGTGTAATTTGAATGTTACTGAATCAGAGTTCCATTTTATTTTCTGTTGTCCTAAGTATAGGGATATCCGTTACAAGTTACATTACTTGGTCCAACTTGCATCAATTTAATTATTTAATGTATATATAAAAAAAGATTTTCTACAAAATTAATTAAATTGTAGATGATGCGTTTTATAAGATTACAAAATATATCCTTTTAATGAGTGCTCTTTTTTCATATGGTGAAATAATGCCCAACTAACTGGTGTTTGTCGAAAGTCGAAATGATTATACATTTTGCCATAACTATTTTTCAATTTTATAATCTGTTTTACACAAAAATTCTATTACTTACCTGACCCATAGAAATTTCTATATATACCATTTGTAATTTTCGTGTGACTTTCACTTGACAAAAAGAGTCGGACACATGTAGTTGTTTATGTGTATACATATATATATGTTAAGCAGGTTTTATATTTTATCCTAATCATTTTTTAAAGCTAATTCAAATAAAATTTACATCGGAAAATGAGCATAATGTTACTTAAAGTTTTGGTTGGAACTATTTGTTTAATAGTATGTACTTTGTGTTCTGTTGCATATATTTTGCTTTTGAAAGGTATTATTCTGCACTGTGCTTGTTTGATATAATGTACTTTGTTTGATATTATGAACTTTGTTAACTGTTGTAAATATTTTGTTTTTGAAACCTATGAAATATGCAATGTTGAATTTGTACATAACCATATTTGTAATAATGTCATGTTTTGATAATGATCAAAGGTATTTTGTTTCTGCCGAGTGCAAATTAACTAATGAATGAATGTTATTTTTGACCATATTATTTAATGTCCACCTTTTCATGCCAGGTTTCATTTTGTCCCTTTTATAGCTTAAAGAATGTTGTTTTTGACCATATAATTTAATTTCTATATCTTTTCATGCCATGTTTCCTTTTGTTCCTTTTTATAGGTTAAACATTGTATTAGCTATAAGTACATTTAAATTGTTTATTAAAGTGACATGTGTTATAAACAATACAATATAAAATAATGAAAACAGTTATCAGAACACCCGGCCCAATGGGCCTATATGTCACCTATCACATTTGTACAATTATAAGTATACACGTCTTGAAGTGAGAAATATATAATAATTTTAACAGGTTGATATTAAAGAGAGCTTTAGTAAAGTAATGATGAAACATAATCTCTGAATCAAGACATTCTAATACATGCAATACATTTAAGGATGTTTGCTGAACTACTTATTATTTAAATATAAGTCCTTCTTTTATGATAAGCTTGCACTAGATATTTAGCAACTTTGCGTGGATGTAAGTTAAGCAAATGTCCTTAAAATTTATCAGTGGCATTTAACGCGGTAAACTTACTATCAAACCATTGGTTGCAAAATATAGAAAAGTTCTTATTCATCATATAGTTTACATTCAAGTAGGAAATGTGCTTCATCTGAACAGTGTTCATTATCACACAATTGTAATACATATTCTACGCTTCTGGTCCCTCGCCAACATATCGTCCTGTCTCAATCCTTTAATGGAAGTATCCCTATGCGGAATTTGCGCGAGCAGTGAACGTTCATTTTCTATTTTAAATTTAATTTTTCTTGTGTAAAGGTTGTTTTAAAATGTAGACATATGTTCGTAATTTTTACTAACAGTAAAAAATTTGTTATGCCCATAGATTAAGAATAGTTATTCTTCTATTTTTGAATTTTTACATATGTTCAGGTTAACAGGCGTTTTTTCGTCAAAGTGTTCACTCAATTCTAGTTTGTTTAACAGTTTTTTAAAATCCACTACACCAATTATTTGTACAGTTTTCATAATCCATGTAAAAAGCTTGTTTAGATAATCTACTATCATTCATTGATAAAAGTCTATTCCAAAACGGATTATACAGATCCATCGCCGTTTTTTCACAAAGGTAACCATGCGGTGTCTCCAGTTTATTGCAAGAATTGGGGCGAATCTATGTACTCCAAGAAAGTAAACGTATTGCTCTATTCGAACACTATCATCACTATGACTGTGTTTAAATCCCCAGACTGCAGCCGAATAATCTAGTATGGGCACAACGCATGCATTATACATTTTTTTCAAACGTTTTAAATCAAAGTCTTTAATTGCCGTGTATTTTTGATATTTTTTTTTTCCCAGTGCACGGCCACCACTTTTAGGCCAAGTCTGTGAATTACGCGAAAAAATCCTTAAAACAATGAAATGTTACGCCTACGGTATTTATAAGTTTTAACTTTTTCTAAAAACACTATTCCGATAGTAAAATCAAAGTTTGTTTCCAAAAGTTTCTTGATTTTTTTTTTCGGAATTTGAACACACTTTGATTTATCAGTATTTGATAAAGAACTTCTCCATTTTTGCACCACTGAGTTACCCACCGTTTAATAAGGAGTTGTAAGTCATTTTCAGATCTTGCAAAAAGGGCGATATCGTCCGCATATAATAAAGCTGACCAACTTTTTTATCACCGACATCAAATCAATGTCAAGGTCGTTTTATCTGTGTCACCAGGTCATTGATAAAGATAAAGAGATTGTACGGGGGGACAAGTTATCTCCCGTGTTTCACCCCCGTGGGGACGTTGACCCAGTCTGTTTTTTTCCATTTATACGCACAAGAGATTAAATAAATAATTGTTTTGATAGAGGTATACATTTTTCCCGAAACCCCGTTAAAAAACTTATTAAATATACGATTTTAAAGTCAACATTTGCGAAAAATTATAAAAGCAGTAAAAAACTTGTCGTTTTTACGTTTTTCTTTTTAAATAAAATTATGATTTTCACACGTCGGTATGCAAACCCCATTTTTTCGTCCGTAAGATATTTTTTTTTTCGAAAAAGTTAGATGTCTTTTTTTAAAAATTGAACTGTTTTTTGCTAATCATGAAAGCAATTACCCCTATAGTTAAGGGGACCCTTGTTCTTTGTTGGTTTTTAGTAAGGGAGATAATCCCCTTTTCCTAAAATATTTGGGAAAAAACCGTATAAAAATTTTTTGAAAAAAAGTGTTTAAAGCGTTTAAAAATAAGGGGAAATGTAAGTACACAGTAAGGTATTTCATCGTACCCACTCGCAGATCGTGATTTAGCCTGCATGACGATCGTAGAAAGTTCTTCTGTACTTAATATCTCTGTTAAGGAGCTCGTTGGTTTCATAAAGGGGGTCACTGATAGAATTTTCAATGCTTGTTTTGTGTATTTAGTCTGGTAGAAATATTCATTATCAAATGAGTTATCATCAGTGCCATTATATAAAATTTTCGAAGTCCTTTCTCCATTTATCGTATACAATGTTTTCATCGTCGAAATATTTCGTCATTTTCGATAACTTCCATTGGAATATTTGTATTCTTTCTTGGACCTAATTGTTTTATCTTGTCCAAGAATTCATTTGGGTTTTTTGTAGACATTTCTTCAATATCGTCTGAAAACGATCTTCTGTAAGCACGTACACATTGACTTAGTCTTTTGTCAAACAAATTACGTGCATTTTATAGTCATTATGAAGAAAAAACGTTTTTTCTCTCCTGCGGTCGTGCATTTAAGGGAACGCATTTTCTTTAATTCTCATCATGAGTCCCATAGTTTTGACAATTCGTCCGTCCCAATATGGCTTTTGGAATTTATGCCTCTTTGTTGTTTCGTGATGACGCATTATATTTTGGTATTTTCTGGTTCATTTTCTTCTATCAAAAAACAGTTTACATAAATTTGTATAAATCGAGTCAATACACTCTTGTGTTTCGCGACTTCTTTCAATCTGTTGAATGACTTCATTAATTGCGATGTCTACTAATTACTGCTATTCATAAAGTCCGTGGGTATTTTGCTCAATTTAAAAACGGTTCTGTTTAATGACTTGATCGCCTGATCTAAGTACCGTATAATCCGTCTGTGTACTTATCAAACTCGGTCAGGAGTACCGAGTGATCCGGTAAACGAGACCTTTCCCCGAGAAAACCGTGCAGTTTATATTTGTTCAACTAATGATTGAATTGTATGTACTTCAAAACGAATGAAAAACTGTGATAATGTGTCGTGTGGAACGCATATATAGTCTACCACAGTCTTGCCCTTTTCGAAACTGATGTAAAAATTGTCTTTTTCTGAGTAATTCGACCGTTCAAAACTGAACACTTACTGTCACATAAAAATTCAAACAAATGCATGCCCATGTTGATTAATAGACTTGTCAATCACTTTCCTTTCCGGAATATTATCAGTTTCATTCACTATATCCGACATACTACCTATTTCTGGAATTAAAATCTCCAGCAATGATACAAATTTTCACACTCATTGTTAGCATATATTTGTGAGAGGATATGTGCAAAAAAAGGTCTGGCTATCGCGACCCCTTCTAGAGTTTTCTGGCGGCATACAACAACTATACACAATATATTCGTGATAATTTTCTTTGTTTATAAGTTTTATACCTATTATTCCATCAATAATGCGATCAATCACTTTGATGTCATATAATTCAAGTAAGCAATTATTAACAAATATTCCGACTCCGCCCGAGCCTTTCGGTGCATTGCGAATTATGTCCGAACCAGATATATCCAGATAAAGACACACTGTCACTGCCTCGAAGATGTGTTTCACAAACAGAAATTATATCAGCTTGAAGAGATTGTAACAAATTAACTCTAAAGTCATTATTGTCCTTTGTCCAACCAGAAACATTTAAATGCGCGAGCTTAATTGGGCCAACGGACCGGTTGTTTTCCTATTGTTGTGATGTGTTATCCTGAGCTCGTGGTTTGATTCTTCCGTTTGCATCAACTCTGTACATGTTTCTATATAATATAAACTACTATAATGATGCACGTAATTGTTTTACTTCTTAATCAAATCAGTTAATAACATATTAAACAGAGCATTTTCAATTAAATTAACATATTATAACAGGCCTGCTATTTCCATATTTGATAAGTAATAACTACATGATAATCAGAAATTATAAAGATAAATAAAAACTGTATGAGTACATACCAATATATTTGATTTTATACATGTGAATAATTACACTAATTTAGAAATGAAAATGATGCGCATATATGAAATAAATTCTCTTCAATGATTGCTTTATGTCTTCGTTCATTTCTTTTTGACTTAATACAGACATACAGACAGACCGACAGACATACATATACTTTTATTTACCACCAGGTTCTACAGTACATATAAGAGGGATGATCAGAAATAACACAGACCTTTGCTGCTGTAACATAATTGCAATTATGTTTAAAAAACGGCGTAAAACCAAATATCTAGACAAATGAGGAGCTCAAACTTGTTATCACATACCACATTTTTATAGTTTCGTTAAATCTACTTCAAAATTGCATTTTGTGTTGCATGAAAAACGATAATAAGTATAACATTGAAAACGGAGCTCCATCTGTGTATCGAACCTGACACTCACTGTATGTACTTCAACACAACTAGCTCATCAAAATTTAGTTTTGCAAATTCTCCGTATATAAGACAATGTATATCGGTGAAAGAGTTAAAATGTAATTCTTAAACCACTTGGAATCGGCAATTATAATACACATGTCTCTTTTAAATTCAAACTGTATCGTGCAACTTGTATTAAATAAAGTTGC